GTAGGTATGGGATTGTTCTTTATCTTCAGTAGTTGATTTTCTATAAAGCTTTTCATTTTGTACTTTACAGGGACTTATCCAATGCAGTTATCAGTATCTCATCCCCTACTTTGCCTTTCTTGTGCTTGTATTTAATGTAAATCTTCCCTGATATGTATCTAAAAACCCTAATTTTCTCTCAGATGTAGTGTGAAGAGCACAGACCTCTGGACCCCAAGGCCTTGGCTCATACCCTGGCTTGGCTTCTGACCAAATACAGCTGAGTTTTCTTGAGTCTCTGCCTCCTTTACCTATAGAGTAGGAATAATATCTTCCTTACATTGCTGTTTGTATCAAATGAGATGAGATGAAGTGTTTGCACATGATAAGCACTTATAAAAGATAGATTGTCACGATTACAAGAGTTGATATAAATTGAAAGCTGTGGTACATAGAGTAGGATTATGTGTCACGACTCATGGGGTTCTTGCTGTACCCGAGGAAGGAGTAGGGGTGAGAATGAGGAAAAGACAGACAAGAGACAAGAGTTGGGTCAGGTGGCAGCGACCTCTCTACCTGATGGGTAAGAGGACCTGAACACCAACAGTAGGGGCGTTTATTTATATTCTTGCAAAGTTAGTGTCACAAAACACAAGGTTGCCTAGCAACTAATGACTGAAATTGTCTGGGCAGGGTGCTTTTCTTAAGACTGGGGTAGCTTGACTGCTTGGGGCACTCTGGCTCTGTCCTGCCCTCACACATATGACCAGTTTTCAGCTCCAGCCATTCCCAACGTCTCTCTCCTGTGTTTTGTAAACGGTGGGTGTTTAGTTGAAGCTGAAAAAGCTGCGCTTGGAGAATACAGTCCAAATATCCATAACAGTGCTCAGTTACCAGTCTAGCGGGCAACTGTCAGAAGTTGTTGATGATTTGAACCTTTTACAGATAACATTACTATGGCATTACTTTTTATAAATCTTGTGGTTACTCTTTTCTGCTAGATGTTTAAGACCAAGTTAAGGCAAGACCTGTATTAATCAATTTTGATATCTTGCTGTCTATCAAGGTCAGTTAAGTCTCCTCAGGATTTACCTTGGACCCATGTACAGCACCTCTTAGATCTGACAGTGTCAGCCGTCTGGATGAGTCACAGCCATTGCTTGACCAAGTTGCTTTCTGTGAAAGCTTGAGAGATTTTTTTTCCCTCCTGGTGACCCTCGTTAGGCACACTATACATCATAGAATAGCTTTCCTCTGCGGCCCCATAATCTCCTTGATCAGAAAGTCAGGGACTCAGTTGAGTCACAGGATGTTGCAGCAGATGTTCTCTCATGTTCTGAGTCCTCACTGACCTCAAAGGGCTAAGGCCAGAATACTGGCCATCCTCTTAGGCCAATCTATCTCTAATTTTTGGTCTCCAAACCTCAGGTGTCAAATATCCAGAAGAAAAGATCAATGACATTACATTGTAATGGAGGCAGTAAGCTTAATATTACTATATTACCTGACTAGCAAACAGAACATGAAATGAGACTTTAATTTTTAACAACCATAGATATCCTAAATATTTAAATCCCTATAGAATGTTAACAGGTAATAGTTACATATTTTGCACAGAATTTAGGAATCAAAACAATGCATAGCATTGCAGCATGATAATCATGATGACATTTTGTAGCATACCTAATTTTTTATTTTGACATAAACCTTTTAGCCAGTCATCTCTAATACATAAGAAGCTTTTACCTAATTAGTTGTCCTTTAATGGGATATACATCACAAGTTTTCTCTTAAAGGCAGAGACCTGAATCTGAAGGAAAGTCTTATCACAGTTAGCAATCTTTGTTTTATATTTTGGAAGACCTGTACATCTAGAGTAATGAATACATTTAATACACCGTGAGATTAACAATAATGAATTGTCATACACATGTGAAAACCTTTGTTTCTTAATTTAGTTTGTATCAACATTTTTGTGAGAAAACCTTACGGTAATTTTTTTCTGAAAAACTCTCTTTTGACCAATGACCACATTGTTGGGGGTGTCTCTCAAGAGACTGAAGATTACTGGGGGCTCCTTATTAATGAACAAGGGTTGGCCACCCCTCTGTTCACTAATTGGAGTCCTGTCCAATAATCTTTCCTCACTCTAAGGGATTTTTGTTAATTACCTTAATTTTTTAATGAGCTGTTAGTAAACTAACTTTGCTATCACTTAGACCAGCTGGTAACTCAGGTGAAAGCATGCTTTTAGTCTGTAACCCAACTTGTGTTATGAACAAATGATAAAAGAAACATTGTTGAGCCCAAAGAAAAAGAGGAACAGCTGTTCACAGAATGACAAATAGACAAACAAGTACACAGAGCAAAGTTTTACAAAATCAGAGTACACTCAAATATATTTTGACCAAATTGAATTATAATAACTTTTATAATTTTGGTAATTTATAATTATAAATAGACTAGTCAGATTTTGTTTATTAATTAGAGATTTCATCAAAAAATTTTAGAAGAAATAGAATCTTTTATCTGTAATCAATATACATATTTTATATTTTATTTTGTCTTAAGAATGCTGGTAACTTTCCATCTCCTATTTAGACCTTTGATTTTCATTTTTGTTACCATCTCCTGGGCAGTCTGAAGTTGCTTCAGAAGGCCCTGGGTTGGATCTGTCCTCATCATTGTCAACTTCTCCAGATCTGGCTTCATGATAACAGCCAAACAGCATACTCTAGCAAAACACAACTATATCCTCAACACCAAGTCAGCTTTTTTTTACTTTGCCTGATTGAACTGTCTTTCTGTGCTGTACTTACATCTTTTGTAAAATTTTAAAAATTTAATAGTATGTGTTGCCAAGTGAAGTGGGAGGGATTGATTTCCCCTTTTTGTTTTTGTAATTTAATTTTGATTGTACGGTAAGAAACCTGTATCCTGTATTTTAGAAAAGGAAGCCATCACATAGCCTCCCTAACCTAAGATGACCCATCTGTGAAAACAGAAGCAAAATGAATTAACTTGTCTGAGGGATAATGACAATAACAGCAGAGAAATTAGCCCAAAATCTGGATGGAGCCAATGAATATTACCAAATAAAGCCTGAAAATCTTGAAAGGTTGATCTGAACCGTTGGGGGTAATATGTGTCTGTTGGCTAAAGTAACCCAAATATGGAAAAGTTATCATAGCTTGTATCCCTTTGGAGGACACCACCAAGCCTGCCATTATTCAAATGGGAGGTCAAAATCAAGCAACTGTTTAAACCCCACTGCTGTAGATTGTACTCTAATTTTTTTTTATATCTGTAAAATACTAAAGCTTTTCTATACCATTTTAATTTAGGAGTGTAAAACAGGCAATCAACCTTATTAGGAATTGAGAATTTTAGTAATCTTTTTAAAATATCCCCATTTCTGTAATTCTTAGGAAATACAATTTTTTTAACTAAAGGCAAAATGTTTTTATCTTGATGGAAACAGCCTTTTAAATTAAACACCTTTAGGGTATAATATAAAGGCTTCTCTTTTAAAACCCTCTCTGTTCCCTGTGAAGCTTTATTCTCTGCAAAGCAGAAATTCCCTGGGAGGCTGTATTCCCTGCTGAGTGGCCCTTTGCATCCCTCCAGGTCAGCAATCCAGCACCTTGTAACTGTGGACCTGTAGTTGCAGTACCTGGAGGCCATCTGCACTAGTGTCTAAAAGCCTTTTAAAATGTTTTTTCTTTAATCAATTTTATCTTTGAACCTAATAGGTGTCAAAAGAGCCAAATCCTTGGATCCCTTTTTAAAATTTATTTATAATCTTAAAAGATTTTGTCCAGAGAAATGACAGTTGCACAATAGCGGAGGCTGGGATGATTTAAGGAATGTTTTAAGTAATTGATTTTCCCTGTTTAGTTCAAATCAGTGACACCAGACAAAACCTGGAGACCTCTCTGTTTTGGGGCTCTGCCTCTGACTGCCACTTTTACTCTGTTGCCTTGGGGCTGGGTGAGCTGTAGCAGTGGCTCCTCTCTCAGTACTGGGAATGGGCTCCTTCGTCCACATTTCCCCTCCCCAAGTGATGCCAGCAGGTGGGCCGTGTGGCAGAGGTGCCCAAGTTTTTCTTGGTCTGCCGGTTGTCACTCCCATCTGGGCTTCTTCTCTGGGTGCTGGATGTCCCACTTTTTTCCCAAATTTTGAGCACAGGTACTGTTTTGAGCAGAATGAATTTCCGGTGCAAATAGCACACAGGCCAGTGCCAGCGGTGGTGGCAGCAGCAGCAGCAGCATCGGGGAGAGCCAGGGCACGTGCATTCATGTCCTGTGCACTCAGTTCCAGGCACGCACACCTGTAGTTGGTGGCCCACGTCACCGCCACAGCTGGATCAGGCATGTGGATGCACAGGCAGCTGGAAGTCCCAGCTGAGTCTGCCTAGGATCAGAGCGCGGGGCCCTCCCTGAAGCCAGTTCGTGCCCCGCTGGCTCCGCTGCCACGCTACATGGAACTAGCCGTCTGCAATTTAAAAGAAATACTTCCTTTTTCATCTGATTGAGGATACTAGAGGGTTCAAGCTCTATCTGCATCGCCATTGCTCTGTGCTCTTCATCCTGTTCGGGCTCAGGACTTGATTTTAAGGTGCAGTTCCCAACTGAATCCTTTGTGGTTGTAAAACCCCTTCTAACCACAATCCAGAGAAGAAAAGTAAACACAGGAACCAAGAAAGCAATAAACATTTTTATATACATCTATAAACATCTGTGGTTCTTGAAACTCCCATTTTTAATTACTACTAATTCAATGTACCTTTCTCCTTTTGGCTTCTTTTAAGCCTATTTCTCTCGTTAAACTCATTTGTCTCTCTGGTCCTAGTGAACCCATTTCTGGCCCTAATGAGCCACCATCCCCACGCTTTACCCCGATGTGCCTGTGCCATGCACTCCAGTGCTGAACACTAGCTCTCACAAATGAGTTCCCCGCCATTGTGCGATCATGGGAAGCGTTCTCACGGCCCACCTGTATCCTACCTGGTGTACCTGTTCAGGCTCCAAATGTGACTCATTGTGTGTTTGCTGTACCCTGGGAAGGAATGGTGGCAAGAATGAGGAAAAGATAGACGAAAGACAAATAACTGGGTCAGGTGGAAGCAACCTCTTTACATGATGGGTAAGCGGACCTGAACACCAACAGTAGGGGCGTTTACTTATACTCGTGAGAAGTTAGTATCGCGAGACACAAGGTTGCCTAGCAACTAATCACTGAAATTGTCTGGGCAGGATGTTTTTCCCAAGACTGGTGTAGCTGAACTGCTTGAGGCACTCTGGCTCTGTCCTGCCCTCACACATATGACCAGTTTCAAGCTCCAGCCACTTCCAACAATTTGGAGGTCGTCTGAAAGTCTTATCGTTACTATTAACTTATATCCCAGCTTTCAAGATAAAAGTGTCCTCATATTCTCTTATTCTAGAGGTTTTCTCATAATTTATATTACAAAGGGAAAGTAAAAAAAAACATTTCCAGAACTATAACTGCAGAGTCCCCTCAGTTGGTGAAATCAACATACCACTCTAATAATTTAAATAAGAATTATTCTAGATGAGAATTACTTAAACCTAGTAAGATGTTTTAAGTGAAGCCCCAGTCTTTGTCTAATAGAGTATTTATTTTTAAAGTAAATAGGAAATTTCCCAGTATCCAATGCATCATATTCCTCTTCCCTAGTCTTCTGAGTTAAATTAATTAAATATATTTCATTTTCATTCCCTTTCTGGGTATAATCTTTCTTTAAAAAGAGGAAAATAGAGGAAATCAGCTTGGTAGATGAAACAGCCCACTAAAAGGACGTTTCTGAGATCAGCTGCCTGCCAAATGCTTCTTTTTTCCATATCAAATACAGTTTTTCAAAGGGTTATTTTGTTTTATATTGTTTTTAATTTTTATCTTGTTTTTGTAGAATTTGATGCTTATTGTTGATAGCAAATAAGCTAGAGAAAGGTAACACAGAAATTGTGTATATTTCTAGCGATTAGGTTTTTAAATCTTACTTTGAGTTAACAGGAACTTTGCTTCTACAGAAGAATTCTACCAAGCAATGGTCACATTTGATTATAGAATAAGTTCCTAGAGCTAGTTCATGCTGCATAATAGTTAGGTTAGGGTTGAGAGAACAAAAGGTTCTACTTGGGAGACTGTAGTACACTTTTCTTTGGGTATAAGGGTGATGCCTCTCTGAACTGGAAAACCATCACCTAGTGGATAGAAGCCTAATTTCTGGTTTTTCACATTGGCTGGGATAAGTAATAAAAGTCACAATCCTCACTTTCTGGTAGAATGATTTATAAATACTTATAAATCATACATTTCAAATAATTAAACAGCAGTAAAGGGCCAAGAATCACTTTTAAACACAGAATTGAGGTCTGAAGGAATGCATATGTATAGCTCTTATGTAGAAGAATCATTTGTAGATAGATGTGCTCAGGAGTTGGAGTTACAGTGGAAAGTTCTGGACTGAAATTTTTTGTTTTTCTCTAGGATACATAACATTTTGTTGGTGTGATAAACTTTCCATGATCTTGTTATTTTGGGGGCTTATTTATTTTTACCTTTCAAGTCAAAAACATAGAGAAAAGTTACTAGAAGTGCCATAACTTTTGCTAAAAAGATTTCTGAATTCTAGAGAAGATAGAAATTTAAATTGCTGAAGAATTTCAATGAGAAATCTTTGAATGTGGTTGTGAAAAATGTTCCACATTTGAAGAGCAAAAGTGAGTATGACTCAGCCACAAAGAAAGATAAACAAGAAACATTTATAGCCAAATGGATGGACCTTGAGTCCATACTCTTAAGTGAAATAAATTGGACAAATGTGTAAATATCACATTGTCTCTCCAATGTGAGAAACTGAAAGTATAAACAAGAGCAAAAATGAATAATAAATACTGTGAAATAGAAAATAATTATTTAAAAGGAAAGAGGAACCGAGGTGGGGTAAAGAAAGGGAAAGAAAAATTGAGAAAAGGGCAAAATGGAAACATAGCTTTGTAAATAAGGGAGAAGAGGGGTTAAAGGGAGGGGAGGAGAACAAAAAAAAAGAAATCAAGATATATCTTGTGCAGGTACAGACTCCCTATGATGAATGTGATCATTATGTATATCTAAATTGTACTAATGAACTTAATAATAACTAAAAAATCACTATCTTAGACCTACCATTTTGTAATGTGTTTGCCTTATGTTGCCTCATCTACATTATGGGCTCTTTTCTTATACAGCAGCAGTTGCTCAGAGCAGGTTTGCTCAGGGAGGAAAGGAAAGAAAGGATGAAGAAAAAGTTAGTTTAGGGTAAGGAGAGCAGATCGTTAGTCTCTGGTCCACTAAGATTTCAGCACTGAAAGCTAAACATGGACAAAATCAATTCTAACTTTAGTTATGAAATATTTTATGTAAATTACTAAAAGCTTCATAAATATCTGCCTTACCATAAATATGAATTAAAGATTATCAATAAATGATAGATTCATTAGGCGTAAAAAGGCACCAATGATGCTACAAATGCGAACCAGCATTGATTTGCTGTCATCTGTTCTCTCCAAACATTTTCTTTAGCTTTTGAGTTTGTGAAAAGGGAGACTCAGAGAAGGGTGGTAAGTTAAGGGTATTTGTCACATATGGAGGAAGCAGAAAAAAGGATTGGATAAAGTGCGTGAAGGTCGGGAAGCAAGTTCTGCTTATTTCCATAAACATTGCCAGAACTAGTCCCAGTGAACTGCTTTGATGCAGTGAACTGCTTAGATGCTGGTGTGTGTATTTAACCATTCTGAAATGTGAATTCGTAAATCAATGGGAACTGCTTCCTAGTGTAATATAGCTAGAGATAGATATATAGTAAATATATTATATATTATAAATATATAATGCAATATATAATAAATGTATTATTAAAAATATATTTCTAATAATAAATATATATTTATATTTTTTATATATCCATATCACCTTATTCTCTCTCTCTCTCTAGATATATATATATGTGTGTGTGTATATATATATATATCACCTTAAACTCACTTTACAAATTGGGGACAACATCTACTGGAAAAACAAAGAATCATTAGAGAAATAACATTTAGGCATTCTTTATCACCTTTACTTTCACAGGTAAGAATGATAATCACAGTTATCTAATCCAGCAGTGTCATGTGAGGAAATTAGTATTTCCTTTGTCCTTTACTGTATGAATCATCTGAACTCTTGAGAAGCATCAGGACAGATGGCATAAGATGCAGAAATGAAATGAAGCCAAAATCTAGACATTCCATATGATAGTTTTCTGGATTAAATTATTAAATTGGCCTGATCTCAGGACTATTTCTCCAGTGTAGATTTGACTTGAAGTATAACCAAAATAAAATTTAATTTGAACATATAACACAATGACTTTTCTAAGTTTATGAGGAGAATGTTTTTTTCCTGAGAAAAATTTTTTTTTGCCAATATCCTATGTGAACACATTAGACAGTGACTGCTTTCTGGAAATAGATGATTGTTTAGAAGCTCAGCGGCTACAAGAAGATTGGTGGTATTTTCCCCTACTGTTGTTTCTCCCTGGTCCCTCTACTTTCTCCCACGGAAAAGGAATTATTTGTATGTTGTTTGCAAGCCTTTATAGCAGTTCCCTTAGTCCCAAGAAGTCCCACTTCCCATCAGTCCCAAGATGGTTTTTGTCTCCCCCTGCCATTATACTCCTTCACAGATCATACAAAGGACAATTCCTTGCCTCTTTCTGAAAAATAGTTAAGAGCTCAAATCCTGGAAATGGGAGGGTATAGTCAGTTAATAAAAGCCATTGCCTGAAGCTAAGCTGAGACAGTGAGGCCAGCTAGAATGAGGAGCTGGTAGGGGTGACGGCAGGCAGCACATGAAACCACAGCTCATTTTCAAATTGTCCTGGTTTCATCTCAAGTTGGTGTTTGTGACTTTTTCCTGACATATGAAGATACCTGAGGCTGTGGGTGTTCAGGGGTTGGAGATTTACCAGAAGCCCCTTTTCCTTCCTGTACTCAAATCTGCATCTTCTATAGCTAAACATAACCTTCCCACCAGGAGCCTCTCTTCTCATAGCTTGTCCACTTTGTGATCACTTTAGCTTTCTTTTGGACCCTCTGTAAGTCTTCTGTACCTATGCTGTTTATATGGTTGAGCAAAAATTTAAGGGTGTAAAGCTAGTTTTCTTAGAAGTAGGATCAATGGTTCAATCTCAATTTATATTTAAAGAAATACAGCCTGCAATTGAACATAAATTTTAAGCATTTGTTTATGACATCATAACAATTAACCCCCTTAAACCTTTTAAAAAATATTTTTACTTCTACTTTGTCCTAAGCTTACCCTTCCAAGGAAGGGTGTGAAGTCACATACGCTCTGCTGGTCATTCCTCAATACTTTCCGCACATAGTGTTGCCTCACTTCTTTCTTCCCTCCCTATTCAGGAAATGCCATCCCTGCCTGCCAGACATGTCAGGCTGATGCAGAACTGCATAGAGTTCTTCCTGACCACAAAGGGAAGCACAGAATAGCCCCTAGGAAATGCAGTTTATCTCCAACTCTGGCAGCATTAAGTCAAACTCATCCCATTATACGGGTTCATCATCTAAATAAATGATAGCAAGACAGAAAGAGAGGGGAGGAGAGACATCTGCTTGAGAAGATGTGTGAATAGGGAAGGTGAGACATGCATTAGTGAGTGAAGAACAACTCACCATTTTTTGTCGTAGTAATGCAAAACAGGCTAATACAGGGAGAACAGTGACTGAGGATAGAACTTAAAACATGTTTTACTGCTGCTTTTGCTAATGGTTATACTTTCAGGATTGAGACTGTATTGTTAGAAGGAGAATCCCCTCCACCCAACCCCTGAATTCCAAAGGAGTTATTTCAACAGTACTATCATCTCAGTAAGGTGGCCACTCTCAGAGAACTAGCCCTGTTTCTCAGTGTATGTTCTAAGGAAAAAAGACAAGACAGTAAAAGGTTTATTCCCATCCTGCAATCTGAAGATCACAATGGCTAACTGAGCTACCAGTCTTTCCCTGATTTAAAGCTCCTGTTCTTTTGCATCCCACATCTTTATTACTTAGACTGTTCATGGTTTTGTTTCTTGTGCTTGCCCTTGGTTGCCTGTTTTGGCATCTTCTTTCCTTTGTTAGCTCATCTCCCAGGGATGGTAGTACATGGGGGCTCAGGACATACCTCCTCAAGACATGGTGACTTGGTATATTGAATATTTTCACCTGAAAGAATTTGAAAAATGGAAAGTTCAGGACAGACTTTCTGACATTCCTCTGAAGGGAGTCATAAGGCCTGCTTTCAAGTGGAAGGTGCTTGTCCCTCTTTCTGGAGGAAATGAGCGTGTTTACCTCAGAGAAGAACCTGAATAGCAGGGATTGCTAAGTTGTCTACTCTTACCTCATATTTCTTTCTTTCTTTCTTTCTTTTTTTTTTTTTTTGGATCTTATTTACGCTTTGAGTGTCTTATGCTAGGGAGATAATACAATGTTTACACATGTGAGTCTGATTTATTTCACTTACGAATATGGTCTGTAGTTGCAACCATTTACCTATAAAAGCCTTGAGTTTATCTTTCTTTGTAGCTGAGCAGTACTCCATTGTATAAAAAGACCACATCATTTTTAGCCATTCCTCAGTTGATGGTCATCTGGGTTGTTTCCAAGATTTGGCTATGACAAATTGTACTGCTATAAACATGGGTGCACACATATCACAGTGGTATATAGTTTTCAATTCTTCTGGAAAAATACCTAGAAGGGAAATAGTTGGATCAAATGGGACCTCTAATGCTCGTTTTTTGAGAAATCTCCACACTGATTTCTACAGTGGTTGCACCAGTCTACATTCCCACCAGCAATGGAGAAGTGTTCCTTTTTCCCCAGAGTCAAGCCATTATTTGTTATTGGTTGATTTTTTGATGTTCATCATTCTTTCTGGGGTGAGATGGAATCTCAGTGTTGTTTTCATTTGCATTTCTCAAATGACCAATGATGTTGAACATTTTTTCATATATGTATGTGCCATTTGTGTTTCTTCATTTGAGAGATGTGTATTTATCTCAGATGCCCATTTATGGATTGGGCCTTTTAATTTTGGGGGCCTGATTTTTAAAATTTCTTTATATATTCTATAGAAATTGTTTGACTAAGGACAGTGACTAAATTTTTTTCCCAATTCATGGGATTTTTTCTCACTCTGTTGGTGATTTCTTTTGATGTGCAAAAACTTTTCTGTAAGAAGAGATCCCAGCTACTGATCCTTTGAAGTATTTCCCCTGCAGTGTGGCTTTTGTTCATAAACTCTCTGCCTATTTCTATGTCTTCAAGATTTCTACCTACTTTCTCTTCTAGTAGATTTAGTGTTTCTGTTCTAATGTTTAGATCTTTGATCCAGTTTGACTTTATTTTAGTGCATGGTGATACACATGGGTCTAGTTTTAGTCTTTCACATTTGAAAAGCCAATTTTTCCAGCATCATTTATTAAAGAGGCTATCACTCTTCCAGTGAACATATTTGGCTCCTTTGTCAAAGATAAGTTGGTATAGTGTGTTTGTAATTGCAACTGCATCTTCTACTCTACTCTATTGATCCTCTGGTCTGTTTTTTTTTTTTTTTGCCAGTACCATGCTGATTTTATCACTATAGCTTTATAGTATAATTTCAAATCAGGGACTGTAATGCCTCCTGCCTTGCCTTTGTTGCCCAGGATTGTCTTTGCTATTGTAGGTTTTTTTTTCTGGTTCCAGATGAATTTTAGGAATGTTTTCTCTAGATTTGTGAGGTATGCTAATGGTATTTTGATCAGGACTGTATTAAATATGTATAACAGTTTTGAGAGTATGGTCATTTTTACAATGTTGATTTTTCCTATCCATGAGCAAGGAATATTTTTCCATTTACTGAAATCCTCTTCTATCTCTTTTTTCAGAGTACAGTAATTTTCACTGTATACATCTTTAACTTCTTTTGTTAGATTGATTCCTAAGTATTCAAATTTTTGGATGCTATAGTGAAAGGTATGATTTCCATAATTTCCATCTCAGTGTGTTTGTTGTTTGTGTATAGGAATGCTATTGATTTTTGAGTGTTGACTTTGTATTCAGCTATGCTACTGAATTTGTTTATTAATTCTAGGAGTCTTTTGGTGAAGTTTTTGGGGTCTTCTACATAGAGTATCAGGTCATCTGCAAATAATGTTAATTTCACTTCTTCTTTTTCTATCCTTATTCCTTTTATTTCTCTTGTCTAATTGCTCTGCCTAATGTTGCCAGAACTATGTGGAATAGGAGTGGTGACATCCTTTTCTTATTCTTGATTTTTAAAGTGAAAGCTTTCAGTTTTTGTCCATTTAGTGTGATGTTGGCTGTTGGTTTCTCACAGAAGGCTTTAACCAGACTGAGGTAAAGTCCATCTATGCCAACTTTCTGTGGGGTTTTTATCATGAATAAATGTTGGACTTTATCAAAAGCTTTATCTGCATCTACTGAGATAATCATTTGATTTTTAGCTTTGCTCTGTTGATATGATGTATTACATTTATTGATTTGCATATATTGAGCTACCCCTGCATTCCTGGGATGAATCCCACTTGGTCATGGTGTATAATCTTCTTGATGATTTGCTGCATTCTGTTTGCTAGTATTTTATTGAGGAATTTTGCATCTATGTTCATTGGGGAGATTGGTCTGTAGTTCTCCTTTTTGGTTGGGTCATTCTCTAGTTTTGGTAGGGTTTTTCTCTCGTTTTGGCATCAGGGTAATACTTGCCTCCAGCAATGACTGGAGGGAGAATTGATTCCCTTTCAATTTCATTAAAGAGTTTGAGGATTTTTGACCTTAAATCTTCTGTAAATTTCTTGTAGAATTCATCTACACATCCATCAGGATCTGGGCCTTTCTTTGTTGGTAAGTTT